AGGAAGGAAGGAAGGAAGGAAGGAAGGAAGGAAGGAAGGAAGGAAGGAAGATCAGAGAGAAGGAAGAAGCAAGTTAGTCAACCTCATTCCCTGCCCCCAGCAAAGAGCCAGGAACTTTCTCAGATAGACAGGCCATATGCAGTTCTTCTTTTGCCGGAGACTGGACTCACACAGACCACGGAGATCTTGGCCAGGTGGGAAAGAAGTGGGTGTGTTGCTCATTGTCACGTGTGCAGGTTCAGGGAAAGGTGTACCTGTTGGATTCCTTCTTGTCCCCTGGAAAAGGCACCAGGGGGGATAAGGGAGGGTTGCTGATGAGAGGGAAGCATCAGTCGTGCTTTACTGTTTGGGGTGGAATTACATCTCCTTCTCCAGCAACCTTTGGGGCAGAGGCTGAGATCTCTCCATCTGCTTCTCCAGCCTCCATCCATCCCAGGAGAGCAGTGATAGCACAACCAAAGAGAATGTGGGGCTCCAAAACGACCCATTTCCTTCCCTTCCTTGGGTGGGTATATCACACCCTCCCAGTGTGATATGGACCGGTTGTTTTGAGGATTACAAGCGGTCCTCGACTTTAACAGCACTGAAAAAAGGGACTTTTGAGGACCGTTTTTCACACTTAACAACCGTTGCAAGCATCCCCACGGTCGCAGGGTCCAAATCTGGACCCTTGGCCACTGGCTCACACAGTATTTATGACGGCTGCATTATCCCAGGATCATATGATCCTCTTTTGGCCACCTTCTGACAAGCAAAGTCAGTGGTGAAGCCAGGTTCGCTTAACAACCGTGGGACGAACGTACCAACTGCAGCGACTCACTTAACAACTGTGGCAAGAAAAGTCGTAAAATGGGGCAACATTCAGTTACCAAATGTCTCACTTAACGACAGAAATTGGAGGCTCAATTGTGGCCGTAAGTCAAGGACGGACTGTACTTATATGAACGTCTATGTAAATAACATCTAGATAATAATAATGAACTATGTAAGTATACTTGGCACAGAGATTCTCCTTTTAGGAGAAAGGCCCGGATGCACATATTGTATGATCCATGGTGGCACAGTGGTTAGAGTGCAGTACTGCAGGCTACTTCTGCTGACTGCCGGCCGCCTGCAATTTGGCAGTTCAAATCCCACCAGGCTCTAGGTTGACTCAGCCTTCCATTTTTCCGAGGTCGGCCAAATGAGCACCCAGATTGCAGGGGGGGCAATAGGCTGACTCTGTAAACCGCTTAGAGAGGGCTGTAAAGGACTGTAAAGCGACATATAAGTCTTAAGTGCTATTGCGAATCCTATGGTGAATGTTTAAATTTGGCCAGCAGGGATTGCAACCTCCCTCCTCCACTTTCCTCAACCTTTGATGGCAATATTCCGCCTAGAAATAATTCCAAGAGGTTTCAATCCCGTTCTGTGCCACCTCACCTCACTTCATCCAAAGGTGAATTGCAGAAACTGCCTGTTGCACTTACCCCAGCAAGCTGGCTGCCCGCTAACATGAGCTGAGCCTGGGGTAGGTGTGGCTGCTGAGCTTGAGGGGCTGGAGCTGGGGCGGGGGCTGGGGCTGGAGCTGGAGGCATTTCTGTAGAATCTTCAGCTTTGATCTAGAAGGGAATAATAATAATCTTGAGCTGAATTATCGATTAATCGTTAATTACTGTTTATCGAATTGTTGAGTTTCCGCTAGTCTTAGACTGTGAATCTGAACTGTAGATTACCGATATAGAGTAATAGTAATAGGCACCTTGCGTGCCATTGTAAAACATCTGGAACACCACTTAAACATCATCTACGCTGACAAAAATCACCTTCAGTCAATTGCAACAGGCAGCTTCGCTCAGAACAGCTTACATCCTGCGACGATACTTCCAACACCATCAAACATCCACATCTACCTCTTCTAGATGCTTGGGAAGGACCCGGTAGGCAGATAATAAGTGTCAAATCCAGTCTGAACTTCAGGCTGAGTGTGCTACCAACCATAATATAGGTGGTCCTCAATTTACAACAGTCAGTTTAGTGACCGTTCAAAGTTACAACAGCATTGAAAACAGTGACTTAGTACCATTTTCAGCAGCTCCATGGTCATGTGATCAAAATTGATACGCTTGGCAACTGACTCCTATTTATGATGATTTTGCGGTGTCCCAGGGTCAGGTCAAACACCTTTTGAGACCTTGTGATCAGCAAAGCCAACGGGGAAGCCAGATTCAGTGAACAACTATGTTACCGAGCCACAGTGGCGCAGTGGTTAGACTGCGGTACTGCAGGCTACTTCTGCTGACTGCCGGCTGACTGCAATTTGGCAGTTCGAATATCACCAGACTCAAGGTTGACTCAGCCTTCCGTCCTTCCGAGGTGGGTCAAATGAGGACCCAGATTGTTGGGGGGCTATTAATAGGCTGACTCTATAAACCGCTTAGAGAGAGCTGTAAAGCATTGTAAAGTGGTATATAAGTCTAAGTACGAAGTGCTATTGTAAGTCAAGGACTACCTATAAAAGCCATTTGCTTTCCAGCTCCACATAGCAAACATCTTTCTGACCCTACTGTTTTCTTCCTGTGTCCAAACTCCATTAGTACAAAGGCAGATGGTTCCTTTCTTGTATTTTTTTAAAAAAACCAAAGCTCCCTTGTCTGAAGCGAACAGTTATGTCTCACACTAGAACCAAGCGTCAAGAAAGGAAACGGGGCCGCTGTTGGAAGGATCCTATACTGGAGAGATTGAGCCCTATGTCCCAGCAAGGGGCGGGAGGGGGGGGAAGAGGGTGATTCAGTGGAGATCCTCAACTGCAGCCAAGATCCTGTGCACTTTGACTTAAGGGATTCCAAGCGAGGGGACGCAAATCCTGCAAACTTAAATCTCTGCTACGCTGCTGATAGTTATTAGGGCCTTCTGTGCAGGGATGAGAAACAATGCAGTACAATACATTCACATCCCGCCCACTGACCAGTGCAAGATGCTTTATCGTTACTTGGCTTCCTGTTTTGCTGCCGGGGTTGGGGTGCAGGGAATTCCCCCCTTAAACCAACCTTGATTCACAAGTTCCTATCAGGTTGATAACAAAAGTGCAGGGCCCTTTCCATTGGGGGTCTTTTTTTGCAAGCGTGATTTTGACCTGCAATGGCCTTTGTTGGGAGGGGCAGTTTCAGGATTTCCAGGGGGTGGGGGGGCAGCCTGAAGGGCCACCCAGAATCATTTGCAATGTTGCAGAAAGTACAACATTTAAAATGATGTGAAGAGCTGAGCTGTTGAAGTTATCTAATTCTATGTCTCAAAAAAAGAGAAAGAGAGAGGGAAAAAAAGGGAACAAATTGTGGTTTGGGCAATATGCAAATTTTTTCCTGTGCAATCAGTTAATCAAAATGCAAGTGATTAATCCAGCTAAACAGACATGCACAGAGAGAGTTTACAGTCTTGTCGTGGCGCCATTCAAGCCAGAATCAAAGGTTTTGGTCTCGTTTCAAAGCTTGACAGACCCTAGACAGACACGGATAGAGAAGCCATTTAAAAACTGGGGTGCTGAATGATGATCTATGACTCCCCTTCTTCAAGACTTAAAAAGATGATGTCTATAATCATTGACAAATAAGATGTTTGTCGAGCTGGTCATGAAGACTTAGTACACAGTTACAGTTTTAAAGTACCAGCCTAGACCTGTGTTTCCCAACTGTGGCAATTTGAAGAGGGGTGGATTTCAACTCCCAGAGTTCCCCAAAACACTCTTATTATCTCATCCCCACGAACCTACCATTTTCCTCTGTCTTGGACTGAAGTTAAAGCTCACCTCAGTACAGCTTCTGAACCCAAGCCAATCCAAGCCAATCTGAATGCCAGGTGCCTTTTTAGAGCAATGTTTCTCAAACGTGGCATCTTTAAGTGATGTGGACTTCAACTCCCAGAATTCCCCAGCCAGAAATGCTGGTGAGGAATTCTGGGAGTTGGAGTCCACCTATTTGAAAGCAGTCGAAGGTTGAGAAACGTTGGGAATTCTGAGAAGAAATGACCTCACCTTGTGGATCTGTAGGTAGGCAGGGAAAAGGTGGGACTTACCTTGGTGCCCGTGATGGTTGGGGATGGGGAGAACGGGGAAGGTTTGCTCTGCTGAGTCTAGAAAGGAGAACATGAGGCAATTTCAGCCCTGACAATCTTAAGACTGTGACCCACCTCAACATATAACTATTTCCTTCCTCCCACTGCTCCTGCCCAAATGTTCTCACCTGATGGTTTGTGTCAGGTCCATTTCTTTCTGTATCTAGAAGCAAAAAAGTTAAATTCACCACATAGGGTCCATACTACTTGTTTCTTTCTCACATTCCTGTACACATCCTGCACCTACTTCTGCTGCTTATAGTGACCGGAAGAATACCATTTCTGGTGAAGGGTTATATGAATCTGAACCACTGGGTCTGGCCCATGGATAACCCCCATAGATTGGGATGGATAACAGACTCCAGAGCGACACATCAAAAAGGATTTTTTTTTTAAATGAGGAAATGTGCCTAGAATATAATGTATTGCCTAGTGTATTTTGAGTTCAGGCTCTTTGTTCTCCAAAAACAAGATTAGTGTACAAGCCTTGTTATGGCCTTGACAGTTTTGATAAGTGCTGATAAAGCAACAGAAGCAATCATTATTTTCGTCACCTCTAACCCCGTTCACAATTTATTTACATTATTTGTATTTAGATATAAAAAGACGATCCTTCAGGGCTGGCCCGTGAAAGTATTAAATAACTGATTTATGTGATCATGCCTCACTGTTCATCATTCACGAGTTAGTGGTGTTGTCTTGTTAATGTTCTGATTAGTTTAGGAATAATTCTGAAATGTGGGGCTTCTGTGACAGCGGTGATAGATAGCAGTCTTCCAATATCTCAGGGGCTGCCCCAAAGAAGAAGGAGTCAACCTATTCTCCAAAGAAAACTGAAGGCAGGACAAGAAGCAACGGATGGAAACCAAAGAGAGAAGCAACTTAGAACGAAGGAGACATTTCCTGACAGTAAAGAACAATTAATCAGTGGAATGACTTTCCTCTAGAACTTGTAAATGCTCCAACACTGGCAGTTTTTAAGAAGAGATTGGACAGCCACTTGTCTGAAACGGTATAAGATTTCTTGCCTGAGCTGTGGATTGGACTTGAAGACTTCCGAGGTCTCTTCTACAATTCTGTTGTTCTTCTTTTCTCTAAAATGGAGTGGAGAATATTTTCCAGCTGGAGGGACAGAGTGGCTCTCCGAACATTCCTCATCCTTCCCTAACTCATCCCCTCCAATACCTCCTTTTGGAGCAAACGTTTTCTGTCCCGCCTTCCCAGCCAGAGATGATTCTTGTGCCACCCAGAATTGGGATAATCCCATTTTTGGCAATCCAAGAGTCGCAAAGCTCTTGCTCCCTGCTTCGCTTTGCACAAGAGAATGGGACTGCCCAATGGAGCAGTATTGCCTTATATTGTTCAAACAGAATAGAGCTGGAAGGGTCCTTGGAGGTCTTCTAGTCCAACCCCTTGCTCAAACAGAAGACCCTATACCATTTGAGACAGGTGGTTGTCCAGGCTCTTCTTAAAAACCTCCAGTGATGGAGTGCCTACAATTTCTGGTGGCAAGCTGTTCCACTGGTTAATTGTCCTCACTGTTAGGGAGTTTCTCCTTAATTCCAGATTGTTTCTCTCTTTGGTTAGTTTCCATCCATTGTTTCTTGAACTGCACTCTGGTGCTTTGGAGAATAGGCTGACCCCCTCTTCTTTGGGGCAGCCTCTCCTTGTATTATTTTTTATTTTATTTATTTGGTAATGGTGTCCCAGAGGGAGATTTTTCATTCATGCTTCAGTGGCTGAAGTGGCACCCAAACCAATGAATAACAATTCATCATTTGGCTCGTTTTAAACCATTTATTCATACCTGACTCTTAATGACTTTATAGGCAAGTGCTCTCCATGCTACCTGGTCAAGCACAGCTTCTTTCAATTGTTGGATGTTCAACGTTGCATCAGATTTGGTGTTATCAAGCTAGCGTGTTCTTTGCTTGCCCTTTCTAGATTATTACAGATAAATAAGCAATACTTCATACTAAACATTGATTCTTCTATGTAGTCCATTCTCCTTTGCTTTGTTCCTTATCTTTCCCAGGACAGTAACTTTTAATAGTTTTTTTTTCCAATGCTTTATTTATCAGCGCACCAAGAAGCCTTCCTCCCATTCTTCTCATTCTTCTCTTGTTCCCTTTCATCCACTACTTCAGATACTAATTCTGATTCATGTACAAAACTGTTCAAAAATGTACTGCTAATGCAATACAGTAGCACCGTGTTGTCTCAGGAGTATATTCATACTATTTATTAGGCTTAATGGCTCCTTTATATCTTGAAGATGACTGGAAAAAATTATTTATAAAAAAGCCAATTTCTGGGTTCCTGATTTTTCTATTAAGGCTCTCCAACGGAAAACTGGAGTCTGTCCCTGCAGGAATCTTCTTTATTTATTCATTCACTTGCATTCTGTATTTTTAATACCTTCTTAAATTTAAAAGGAGAAAGAAAATGAATTAGCTTCAAAGAGGCCACCGCTGCAAAGACTGCAGGGAAAGGCATGTTCTCATTTCCACCAGCCTCTGCAAGAGCCTTTCTGTTAATGAATAAATACATTCTTATTCTTCCCATCAAAGCAACTTACCCGTGTGGTCTTCTTGCAGCTCCAGGCGCACCTTCTCCAGTTCCAAGGGCTTAGACATTCTTACTTCTGTGAGAAAAAGGAAGGAACAAAAAAAAAAAATGGAAAGGAAAATGCAGATGAGTATTGATAACGGTACACAGAAGGTAGTGGAGCCAGAAATCAGTGCCAATAGCAATAGCACTAAGATTTATATACCGCTTCATAGTGCTTTACAGCCTTCTCTAAGCGGTTTACGGAGTCAGCATAATTGCCCCCAATAATCTGGGTCCTCATTTTACCCACCTCGGAAGGACGGAAGGCTGAGTCAACCTTGAGCCTGGTGAGATTCGAACTCTAACCACTGTGCCACTAGGGCTCTATTTTGTGCCAAATCTATGTAACATGACTTGCACCAAACCAACAAATGAAAAACTTGATGGATTTTAAAGCGAAAGAAAGAAATGAAACAAAAAACTTTAAAATTGTCGGGTTCGCTCATTTCTGCATTGTAATATGACACTGCAGAATTCAAACCGTATAAAATCTGAAAATAAATGCCTCATGGATGTCAAATTATTCTAACACCCCCATAACTCTGAAACTTCCAAAACTATTGCTTGTGAGTTCTCAGGGTTTTAATCTTTGTAAGCTGCCTAGAATCACTGGTGTGAGATGAGTAGCTATATTAAAAAGAAAAGAAAAGTAGGAAGACTATTGCCTGCATATATTTTTTTCTAAATCTCCTCCGAGAAATAAAAATGGTTTAATCTTGGTTTTCTTTTAATGAAAACTGTAATTCAGCAAAGCAACTGAAAAAAAAAATCCCTGAGAGATCTAAGCTGCACAGTATATTCCTGCTTGGAACAAAACAGGCCTCTTTCCCTTATCCTCACTAGAGACCCTCATCTAAACCCAAAGCTTTTGCTGAGCGTGTTACAACAGATATTTAAAAGATTAAATGTTTTAAAACACTTGGGCAATGAATGAATGAATGCATGGATGGATAAAGAGGAAAAAAAGAGAAATGAATATATACTGTGCAAGGGCTAAACATTGGAACTGCAGAAATATGGATGACCACTAGAATCTGCAATTCAGTGATGATCCAGATTTTTGCAGAGCAGTTAGTGTACACTTAAACTTTTTCAAGGATTTGTTGTTCTTTCATTTTTTGAATACCTGAATATCTCCTCCATGGTGGTCAGATAACAATGCAAGAGAATAATACAAAACTTCAATAAATAAAGTAACATCCAGCGGCCTCAGAAGTCTCCAAAATCAAAACATGCTCAAACCAAATAATTCTCAGTTGTTTGTGAAATGCAAGCAGGGATTGGGACCACCCACAGCTTTGGCAGGAGAGGACCCCAAACATGGGGGCCGGCATTGGAAGGCTTGTTATCTGGTTCGTACCCCATGGCTCTTGTAAAGAAGGGGAAACCCTCAATCGGCCCCGTCTACAGTATACCAGGACTAGATGGGCGCATTCTATTTTACAAAGCACTGCCTGCTATCTTCCTAGGACAACTTCTGTTTTCAGGAATCTGCGGTTGTGCGACGGGGGTTACAACCACTGACTTTAGCAGAGGATTAAGACAGCCATGGAGAAGGAAAGTTAGGTCGCTGCCTATTCGTTTTGCGAAACGGCACTAAGATTATTGCCAGAGAGGAAACACAAGGATAGGGTTGTTGTTACCTTCAAACCTTACTTGTGGTTTTTCTCGGGATATCTGGTTACTTGATCCAGAGAGCTTTGGCACTGATATATCTTTGCTCTTTCTAAGTAAAGCAGGGGTCTCCAAATTTGGCCACTTTTAAGACTTGTGGACTTCAACTCTCAGAATTTCTCAGCCAGAATTCTCGGCCTTGAAATCCACAAGTCTTAAAGTGGTCAAGTTGGGAGACCCCTGTTATAAAGCATCTGCTCCCATTTATGTCCTATGTTGAGAAAACTAACCTGACATGTTGTTAATATTATTCATACTGCCAGTCCTTATGGAAGAATAAGTAAGACAATGGCCTCTGACAGCAGGTGCTGGAGGTGGCCAACTCTGGTTCTCTAGCAGCTTGGATTTCTTGGCTGTTCTTCTGTTTTAGATATTGCTACAGTGTGTGCTAAATAAACTATGTTTATTTAGGAATAAACGTATTTAGAACAGGAATTGGAAAAGGACACCATCCTACCACTAGAGTTCACCAAACGTCTGTTCAAGATCCAGTAGAAGCAAAAGAATCTACAGGTTAACATTGTGACATCATCATCAGCCAAGATAATTCACTCTTTCCATCAATTATGTTCTGCCATTTGATAGTTTCATAACCACCACTATTTTAAACCTAGCACAATACGGACGGATGGATGGACGGATAGACAGAAGGAAGAAAAAAGGAAGGAAGGGAGGAAGGAAGGAGAGGGGGTGTGGAAGGAAGGAGGGAGGGAGGAAAGGGAGAGAGGGAGTGTAGAAGGAAGGAAGGAAGGAAGGAAGGAAGGAAGGAAGGAAGGAAGGAAGGAAGGAAGGAAGGAAGGAGAGAGGGGGTGTGGAAAGAAGGAGGAAGGGGAGGGAGGGAGAAGAAGGAAAGTGAAGGAGAGAGAGAGTGTGGAAGGAAGGAGAGAGGGGGTGTGGAAGGAGGGAGGGAGGAAAGGGAGGAGGGTGGGAGAGAGGGAGTGTGGAAGGAAGGAAGGAAGGAAGGAAGGAAGGAAGGAAGGAAGGAAGGAAGGAAGGAAGGAAGGAAGGAAGGAAGGGTGGGTCACTTCTTCAGTGTGATAAATGCTTTTATGTGTTTTCCTATTCATTCAACACCAGTCAGAATCCCTCTTGGTCCGTAAGCAAACAATGAAAGCTAGCACTTTTTTAAGAACTGGACATCAGAGCAGGAATTCAACCAGTGTCACCACTGATTTTACCTTCATATAAATGAGAAGGATAAGTCCAACAGATTCAGCCAAACATGCACCTATTAAAGACACAGCAGGGAAGGAGGAACCAATCCTTTTCAGCGTCTCCCATTACATTTCTTCATCTACTTCGTAATAAAAAGCAATCTTTAGGAGGGAAGGCCATTCCTACTCTCCATGGTCCACCACACCGCCTTCTACTAGTTTTCAGGTTATGCCATGCAAAAAAAAGCAAAATATTTTCAGAACTTGCAACTAAAGATTGAGATTTGTATCTAAAGGTTGCTAGATAAAACTATTCTTATCCACTGTCCACCTGCCCTGAGTACAGGTAGTCCTTGACTTACAACGGTTCTTTTAGTGACCAAAGATACAAGAGCACTGGAAAAAGTCATTTGGGACCATTTACAACTGTCCCAGCCTCCCCATGGTCACATGATCAAACACTTGGCAACTGACTTGTATTTATGATGGTTGCAGTGTCCCAGGGTCACGTGACTCCCTTTTGCGACCTTCTGACAAGCAAACTCACTTTTTTAAAATTTTTATTTGGTTTGTCAATTGCTTACAAGATAATAGGTATAAGTAAAAACATAGTTATGAATACATGGATACATATAAGAAAAATAAAAGAAACAATAGGACAGGGATGGTAGGCTCATTGGTGCGCTTATGCACGCCTCCTACAGGCCTCTTAGGAAAGGGGTGAGGTCAATAATAGACAATCTAAGGTTAAAGTTTTGGGGGTTTGGGGAAGAAACCACATAGTCAAGTAGAGTATTCCAGACATTGACCACTCTGTTGCTGAAGTAGTATTTCCTGCAATCAAGTTTGGTACGATTAACCTTGAGTTTGTATCTATTGTTTGCTCTTGTGTTGTTATCGTTGAAGCTGAAGTATTCATTGACAGGTAGGACATTGCAATGTACGATTTTTATATATTATACTTAGATTAGACCGAAGGCGGTGTAGTTCTAGGTTTTCTAGGTCTAGAAAATGGGGGAGCCAGGTTCATTTAACAACCTTCTTTAGAGATTCACTTAACCATGGTGGCAACGAAGATCGTAAAATGGGTCTTGCTTAGCAATGGAGATTTTGGGCGCAATTGCGGTCATAAGTCGAGGACAAACCATATTCCAAGATATTCAGATTCATTCCTTTTCCAGTCTGGTTTTCCATTTCACTCCTCTTCTGAAAGCTAGCAGCTGCTGTAAGGGACATTCCTATTGTTTCTTTTATTTTTCTTATATGTACTCATTTCTTGTATCCATAACTAGGTTTATCCTTATACCTATTATCTTGTAAGTGATTGACAAATCAAATAAATAAATAAAATAAACCTTTCTGCTCTTCTCCCCATCAGAATCCTGCCATTCTGACTAAATTACAGCTGGCTGTTGGAGAACGTAATTCCCATAGTGAAATGAACTTCAGCAACTGAAGGAGATAGGCTTGCTATCTTTTTAGCTGACACCAAGAGAGAGGTAGCAAACAGAGAGCTTTTTCCTGGTATAGTTGAAAGTAAAGGTTCACACCCCAGTTTCTTTCTATCAAGCCCACACTAAAGACATAGTGTGTATATAATGCTGGGCAAATGGCATTCTCATATATCCACCACAATCTGCACAGCTGGCATTTAATGCTGCAAGCGTTTGGTAATACAGGAACGATCATAGGTACGATAACAGCTGGTGAAATAACCCAGAAATGTCAATCTATAATCTGTGATCAAAGATAATAGAGAGGCGTTATGTACATAAGAATCAAATTGGATTTTGAGACTGAATAAAAGCTGAACAGGAGGTTTTTATGAGAGATATGAAAATACCTCTTAGGTGGGAATATTGTTTAATGCAGAGTCAACATATAATGGAGCCCGTGTTCAAGTTAAATTCATCTTTTCATCAACAATGTCCCGGACTATTAATCTTTTTCAGAGCTGAAAGAAATCCGAGCGTGATTCTCAGGATCATTTGGGATAAATGCAGCCAAGCAGTGGATTTTCTTAAGCAAATTTTCATCTGGAACTGTGTCCTTGTTCATTTGCCTCCTAACAAGATTTCTGAAACATGCAGATATTCAACGGGAAGAAGCTTTTTCTTGACACACAGAAAACTAATGGAGAACTGATTCTTGATTGAAGGTCTACATCCCACGGATGGAGAAGACCCATGGAGAGCACTGATAGCAG